GAGAGGGATTTTCGGTTGCCATCAGGCTGTTGATGTTCTTATTACACATCCATCGTTGACATTTACAGGACATGACAGACTCGAATGAAGAGAATAGTACGCCACAGTGTCAGGTGAGTTATACATTTCTAGTTTTCTGATATCACGTTATTGTTTGCAATGCCTGAGTTTGCTAGCCGGCAACATAGCTATAGGGGTAGTTTAAGAAAACCGCTAACAAACCGTAGCATACATGTACATGAACCCTTCTGAGGTATTGATTACTTGCTGTAAGCATTAGAGGTGGCAGAATGACAAAACATGTTTCTCTCTCTATCACAATGTTGGGAGCCGCTCGCGGGGGTTTAATCTGCGCGCGAGGGTCATTTCATGCGCGTGTAAAAGCACATTTTCCGCTCGTGAGTAGCTTGTTTTGCGCGCTAGAATATTGACCCAAATCTGACTCCATAGTTTGTGACTCTGCAGACCGTTTACATGCAGAAAAAGCTACATAACACACAAGGGGACGGGTAAGAACCGAACAGGTTTTAACAACTGAATGGCCAGCAGAGGGACACACACACACACACACACACACACACACACACACACACACACACACACACACACACACACACACACACACACACACACACACACACACACACACACACACACACACACACACACACACACACACACACACACGCACGCGCACACACAGTCTTATTTTATTCTCTTACACCTTGCAGCCATGTTCCTAGTCACCTCTCCTCTTGGCTTTCTTATTAATATCATCAACCATAAAATGCTCTGAAACAAAGGTGACGTTGAACCTCAGATCAGCAGCTGATTATAACGTCTTGTTGTTTCTCTCAGAGCACAACAGTGAGTTTGGTTTTATAGATGTAATAAAGTCAGTGCAGTAAAAATAGAAAGTGAAATATTTCAACCTGACATTCACATCCTGTTTGCAGAATGATCCAGCTCCTTTTTAATTTCACTTCTTTTAGCCCACGTCTATTTTTGGGTCTGACGTCTTTTGCAATTTGCGAGGTTCAGTTTTATGAGGAACATTTCCTCTAAAGAGCAGGTGGAGAAAAAGGAGAAAGGAAGGTTAAAGTCAGAGAGAAAGTAATAAAATCTCCCTCAATATCATCCAATGACTGCTGTGTCCAATGTCCTTCAATCTACTGCTTTGTAAGTTACTTAAAAGTCTCCTATCATGCAAAATGCACTTTCTGATGTATTCTCTACATCAACATGTATCCCCGGTGCAGAGGTTGCGCTACACTTTTTCGCTGGCCGTCATTTTGACGGACAGGATCGTAAAACTTCTGTCAAAATCCAGAATGACCCGTCGGCCTTTACACAACTCTGACGGGGGGGGGGAAAGCATGCTCGTGAACTGTCAACGGGGGTGGGGGGGGGGGGACAGTTCGCATGCGCCGTGTTGTGCATGGCTGCTGCACCTCGCGGAAGCGTGCACAGCGTAAAGCCGAAACAGACATTTCAATGATTTGTACGGCACAGTTAGGTTTGGAAACGGTTTGATTTCCTTTTTGGAGGGCATGCATAACACCGGAGCCTCGCTGCGGGGAAACTTTGGCGCTGTTCCGAGTTTGTTCTAATCTGTCAAAATGACGGACTGCTTTCAGATTTGTCCGTCATTGTTAAAAAAAATCCGTCATAGACGGAAAATATTCGGTTAACGCGACCTCTGCCCCGGTGTGTCCCCGGTGTGTCCCCGGTGTGTCCCCGGTGTGTCCCCGGTGTGTCCCCGGTGTGTCCCCGGTGTCCCCCCCGGTGTGTCCCCATGTGTCTCCGGTGTGTCCCCATGTGTCCCCGGTGTGTCCCCGGTGAGTCCCCCATGTGTCCCCGGTGTGTCCCCGGTCCCCCCCCGGTGTGTCCCCGGTGTGTCCCCGGTCCCCCCCGGTGTGTCCCCGGTGTGTCCCCGGTGTGTCCCCGGTCCCCCCCCGGTGTGTCCCCGGTGTGTCCCCGGTGTGTCCCCCGGTGTGTCCCCATGTGTCCCCGTGTGTCCCCGGTGTGTCCCCGGTGTGTCCCCGGTGTGTCCCCATGTGTCCCCGGCGTGTCCCCGGTGTGTCCCCGGCGTGTCCCCGGCGTGTCCCCGGTGTGTCCCCGGTGTATCCCCGGTGTGTCCCCATGTGTCCCCGGCGTGTCCCCGGTGTGTCCCAGGTGTGTCCCCGGTGTGTCCCCGGTGTGTCAGGAGACTCTCAAAGTGTCAGGAAATAAACCCCTCTCTCTTCTCCTCCGTACCCACAGCTCTAAAAACGGGGGAACAACGGAGCTGATCCAGATTTGCTGCGTCATGACCACATTACTAAAAATGTGGGCGGGCTTTAGACCCACGGGCCAATCAGAAACGATGCTGTCAGAAACAATGAGACGTGTTCTGGAAGTGATATGGTCTGTGTTTACATTAGCATGCTAACACTCAGAGCTAACCTGCGCTGGAGAGAGTCTGTGTGAAGAAGCAGGAAATCAAAAGGAAGTCACCTCGTGGTAAACCTGAGAAAGAGAAAGAGTTTGAGCTCCATCCTGTTTCAGAGAGAATCCTTGATGTGGTTTGGAACATGATATGGAGTTTCATCACGGCAGCATTTAGCTGAGTATCTGCCGGTAGAATTCTCCTGCTTGAGCTCTCGTCTCGGATCTCGTTTTTATTTATTTATTATTATTTGTTTTTAGTTTTTAAGCTTTAGACCCAGAATCAGCTCTTTAGTAACAGGCTGAAATAGAGGGGTTTGAGGCTAGAATGTTTGGTATTTTGAGCAAAACACTTCATAGACATGTTTTTATATATCTGAGACCTGTAATATATGCCTACAAATGGTATAATACGAGACCTTTAAAATATCGAAGGCCTTTTCTGGTCGTGCTGATGAATGATCCTTCACATCTTTCCTTAAACCAACAACGTTTTCCACTGAAGTCAAGGAAGAATTGTCAGGAAAAGACACAAACAAGGACAACACTATGCTATAGCGACCTGTCACAAGGCAGACTTACAACTAGAGATTGAGACTATAAACGTATTAGGAAAATGTTCACTGAGGTAATAAATCAAATGAGAAGTAAGGTAATTATCTCCTAGACTTTGATGTATTCTGACTTGAAGGAACGATTGTTAGGAAAAGACGTAGGACTGGATTTTTATTCGGACAATTGAACCATAGCAACGTTTCTCTTCTTCTTTCTCCTTCAGAAGACTCTCTGCAGCCAATGAAATCTGTGGGTCGGCTGCCACATCCAATCAGGACGCGATGCAGCTTCAGGGGAAGTGTCCTCGGATGCACCAATCACTGCGCTGCGAAAAACCCCAAGACCTGCAAGTCCTGGTAAAAAACTATACAAAGTTATATTCAAAGCTTTATGCAAAGAGAACATGATGTATAGTTGAATGCATAGCTTTCTGTTGAAGAACATTGTTAACATGTAAATGAAAGAAAAGGGATATTGCAAACAAAATGGATTCAGACAAATAACAAACTTGGAAAAAGGGTTAACGGTGTCTTTAACGCCACTCCTGGTTTTTGGATCTTAATGAGACATGAGTGTTTCTGGAGCTCACATTGGGAATGGTGTTGATCTGTTTCACTTTGTGTTCGAAATGGGCCAGGCATGAGAAAAAAGTTGCATTATGGGATATGTAGTCTCTAATCTCTTTCAAGCTTGACCTTAAAGTACCTCAAGGTAAAGGTTTCTACGATGACCCCTTTTACAAGACCTCCCTCGGGGTAAAAAGAGAAATGACCCCCCTAGCCTGTAGGGGGCGGTACACATTTAAGCTTTGAATTTGAAATGGGCCAGGACTGAGACGAAACACCACTGAGTTGTGGGAAATGTAGTCTCTAATGTCTTTGAAGCTTGACCTTAAAGTACCTCAAAATGAGGGTTCCTTCTTTTTTTATTTTGCTCATTGAATTGTTACATTTCTTGAATAACAGATTGACATGGAGTAAAGCTTTAATGCACTCCCCAGAGGATGAACCCTGGAGGATTTAGAAACGGGGAAGCCAGGGTCCAAGACAAGAAAACACGGTTGCATTATAGGAAATGTCGTGTCACGATCTGTCTGTGTTTTGTCTTTCTCTGTCTTTGGTTTCCTGTCTGGCCTGTTGCTGTCTGTCTGTGTTCCCTCCTCCCTGATTACCCGATTGTGTTCACCTGTGGCCCCTGTGTGTTTCTTCCTCCCTCCTCACCTGTGTCTTGTTTCTGTGATTAGTCTTGTGTGTATTTAAGTTCTGGTTTTTCTGTCTGTCTTTGTCGGTTCGTCTTTCGTTGTTGACTGTGTTCACGAGGCAGTGTTCTGTTTGTTCCTTAAAACCTTGATATAAAGGTATTTTTTCTGTTTATTCTGCATTTGGGTCTTGCCTGCTTCACTCCCCGTAACATCTGGAGCTTTACCTTAAGGCTTCAACTAAAGGTGAAGGTTTCTCACAATTGCTGCTATCATATTGATCATTCATTTGTTTGATCCCCCCAAAATCCTTAGATGCATTTGTGTTACCATGTGTTACCAGTAACCCTTTAATGCACGTCCAAGAGGGGAAGAAAACACTGTTGCATTATAGGAAATGTAGTCCTTGTGATGTCTTAAAAGCTTGACTTTAAAGTACCTCGCTGTTGCTGCTTTAATTTCAATCATTTAAACGTTTAAATCTGTCTCTCACAACAGCCCTGAATTTCATTTACAACACACTGCCTCAATGCACTCCCCAGAGGATGAACCTTTTCACTTTTTACGCCCCCTCTTAAAGCCCCTCCCCCTCTGTTGTAATGACACACAGCGTCCTGTAGAGGGGGCCATTATCTGTAAACACCGTCTCCTGCTGACACTCCACTGAAGAGCTTTAGTCACTCTCATTTTCAGGACCATTACATCATCATTGTCTAAAAAACACACACACACACACACACACACACACACACACACACACACACACACACACACACACACACACACACACACACACACACACACACAGCAGGGGAGAGAAGAGGGGGAGGACAGATTGAGACGCCTGTTTTTCGCATCTGATCGGAGCGTGAAGTTATGTGCATTTGAATTTGGGAGGAGGGGATGATGAAGAGGAAGAGGAAGAGGGGGGGGGTGATGAAGAGGTCTGACGGCTGCAGGATTCCATCACTCTTAGCAACGGTTATTGAGTTACCGGGGAAACGCTGTGCGATGTTCTCTGCTTCTCTTTTGTTTGCCTCCTCCTCCTCCTCTTCCTCCTCCTCCTCCTCCTCCTCCTCCTCCTCCTCCTCCTCCTCCTCCTCCTCCTCCTCCTACTCCTCCTCTTCCTCCCTCTCTCTCTCCATCCTGACTTCCTGCCTGCGTTGCCACAGCGATGCTTTGGGACAGTTGAGCTGAAATCATCTTTGCCGCCGCAGTGCCGAGACGAGGAGGAAAGAAAGTCTCCAGCTTGTTTACTTGTTGGCTTTCTCTTCATCCAAAAGAACACAAAGACGCCGTCAGTGTTTCGCAGCTCTGCAACTTTTTAAAGAAACAGTTTTTTGTCACCTTTAACCCCTTGGCGAAGATCACCAGAGGTCAACGCTTTTGTTTGTGGAAACCAACAACAGGAAGTTGCATGAAGTTGGAACGAGACAAAGCGTCACATGTCTTTACAACTCCGTCAGTCTGAGAGGCGTTCAAACTCTGCTGCGTGAAAACACTCAGACAACTCCTGAAAAACACTTTCTCTGCAAACAAGGAGATGAACAAGGAGGCGGAGGAGGAGGCGCAGCTGCAAGAGGAGGTGAAGGAGGATGAAGAGCGAGAGGAAGAGGAGGAGAAGCAGGAGGAGGTGCTGCAGAAAAAGGTGAAGGGATGTGAGGAAGAGTTGCAACAGGAGCAGGACAAGGTGCAGCAGAGTGTGGAAGAGGAGGAGGAGGAGGAAGAGGAAGAGGAAGAGGAGATGTCTCAGACTGAGGATCTGCAGACGCAGGAGAAGCAGCAAACTGAGCACGAGACGCAGATCGTGGAGTTTGAGGAACACAATTACAACGACCAGGTCCTGTTCCGACTGAGAGGGATGTGAGTAAACACAGAGACATGCTGATGATGATGAAGATGATGATGATAAGGATGAAGATGTTGACCGTTTTTGGGAGTCAGACCGACAGCACCAGTGTGTCGTTGCTGTGGTGATGAATGACAGAAAATGAGAAATCTGTGGGTGCGGTGCGACATCACTGAACATGAGAGAGAGAGAATGTGTGTGTGTGTGTGTGTGTGTGTGTGTGTGTGTGTGTGTGTGTGTGTGTGTGTGTGTCAGATATTTTGAGTCACACATCATCACCTGTCTGAGCGTTAGAGATGACGACACAGAGGAGGCAGCAGCAGATGTAAAACAGCTGGGCGCTTTTTTATTTATTTTTTACATTTTTTTGTTCTGAGAGGTTGCCATGGTGACAGCAGAGCGTTGCGATTAGCAGCAAAAAAGTCTCTGCAGAGAGAGAGAGAGAGAAGAGAGAGAGAGAGAGAGAGAGAGAGAGAGAGAGAGAGAGAGAGAGAGAGAGAGAGAGAGAGAGAGAGAGAGAGAGAGAGAGAGAGAGAGAGGGAAAGCAAGACAACGCAGGTTTATTTGTACAGCCCCATTTTAACATGAGGGAATTCAAAATACTTGAATCATGTTGATTCTCCTTCAAAATGTATATAAAGAATCTCTATGTCAATATGGTCTGCAAATAAAACTGTCCTCTCCTGCTGACGTTCAGGTGTATATGTAGTGTCTCTACTTTAAAGAGTCCTCTCCTGCTGATGTTCAGGTGTATATCAGTATGTAGTGTCTCTACTTTAAAGAGTCCTCTCCTGCTGATGTCCAGGTGTATATCAGTATGTAGTGTCTCTACTTTAAAGAGTCCTCTCCTGCTGATGTTCAGGTGTATATCAGTATGTAGTGTCTCTACTTTAAAGAGTCCTCTCCTGCTGATGTTCAGGTGTATATCAGTATGTAGTGTCTCTACTTTAAAGAGTCCTCTCCTGCTGATGTTCAGGTGTATATCAGTATGTAGTGTCTCTACTTTAAAGAGTCCTCTCCTGCTGGTGTTCAGGTGTATATCAGTATTTAGTGTCTCTACTTTAAAGAGTCCTCTCCTGTTGATGTTCAGGTGTATATCAGTATGTAGTGTCTCTACTTTAAAGAGTCCTCTCCTGCTGATGTTCAGGTGTCTATCAGTATGTAGTGTCTCTACTTTAAAGAGTCCTCTCCTGCTGATGTTCAGGTGTATATCAGTATGTAGTGTCTCTACTTTAAAGAGTCCTCTCCTGCTGATGTTCAGGTGTATATCAGTATGTAGTGTCTCTACTTTAAAGAGTCCTCTCCTGCTGATGTTCAGGTGTATATCAGTATGTAGTGTCTCTACTTTAAAGAGTCCTCTCCTGCTGGTGTTCAGGTGTATATCAGTATTTAGTGTCTCTACTTTAAAGAGTCCTCTCCTGTTGATGTTCAGGTGTATATCAGTATGTAGTGTCTCTACTTTAAAGAGTCCCTCTCCTGCTGATGTTCAGGTGTCTATCAGTATGTAGTGTCTCTACTTTAAAGAGTCCTCTCCTGCTGATGTTCAGGTGTATATCAGTATGTAGTGTCTCTACTTTAAAGAGTCCTCTCCTGCTGATGTTCAGGTGTATATCAGTATGTAGTGTCTCTACTTTAAAGAGTCCTCTCCTGCTGATGTTCAGGTGTATATCAGTATGTAGTGTCTCTACTTTAAAGAGTCCTCTCCTGCTGATGTTCAGGTGTATATCAGTATGAAGTGTCTCTACTTTAAAGAGTCCTCTCCTGCTGATGTTCAGGTGTATATCAGTATGTAGTGTCTCTACTTTAAAGAGTCCTCTCCTGCTGATGTTCAGGTGTATATCAGTATGTAGTGTCTCTACTTTAAAGAGTCCTCTCCTGCTGATGTTCAGGTGTATATCAGTATGTAGTGTCTCTACTTTAAAGAGTCCTCTCCTGCTGGTGTTCAGGTGTATATCAGTATTTAGTGTCTCTACTTTAAAGAGTCCTCTCCTGTTGATGTTCAGGTGTATATCAGTATGTAGTGTCTCTACTTTAAAGAGTCCTCTCCTGCTGATGTTCAGGTGTATATCAGTATGTAGTGTCTCTACTTTAAAGAGTCCTCTCCTGCTGATGTTCAGGTGTATATCAGTATGAAGTGTCTCTACTTTAAAGAGTCCTCTCCTGCTGATGTTCAGGTGTATATCAGTATGTAGTGTCTCTACTTTAAAGAGTCCTCTCCTGCTGATGTTCAGGTGTATATCAGTATGAAGTGTCTCTACTTTAAAGAGTCCTCTCCTGCTGATGTTCAGGTGTATATCAGTATGTAGTGTCTCTACTTTAAAGAGTCCTCTCCTGCTGATGTTCAGGTGTATATCAGTATGTAGTGTCTCTACTTTAAAGAGTCCTCTCCTGCTGATGTTCAGGTGTATATCAGTATGTAGTGTCTCTACTTTAAAGAGTCCTCTCCTGCTGATGTTCAGGTGTATATCAGTATGTAGTGTCTCTACTTTAAAGAGTCCTCTCCTGCTGATGTTCAGGTGTATATCAGTATGTAGTGTCTCTACTTTAAAGAGTCCTCTCCAGCTGTTTTCAGGTGTATATCAGTATGTAGTGTCTCTACTTTAAAGAGTCCTCTCCTGCTGATGTTCAGGTGTATATCAGTATGTAGTGTCTCTACTTTAAAGAGTCCTCTCCAGCTGATGTTCAGGTGTATATCAGTGTGTAGTGTCTCTACTTTAAAGAGTCCTCTCCTGTTGATGTTCAGGTGTATGTCAGTATGTAGTGTCTCTACTTTAAAGAGTCCTCTCCAGCTTTTTTCAGGTGTATATCAGTATGTAGTGTCTCTACTTTAAAGAGTCCTCTCCAGCTGATGTTCAGGTGTATATCAGTGTGTAGTGTCTCTACTTTAAAGAGTCCTCTCCTGCTGATGTTCAGGTGTATATCAGTATGTAGTGTCTCTACTTTAAAGAGTCCTCTCCTGCTGATGTCCAGGTGTATATCAGTATGTAGTGTCTCTACTTTAAAGAGTCCTCTCCTGCTGATGTTCAGGTGTATATCAGTATGTAGTGTCTCTACTTTAAAGAGTCCTCTCCTGCTGATGTTCAGGTGTATATCAGTATGTAGTGTCTCTACTTTAAAGAGTCCTCTCCTGCTGATGTTCAGGTGTATATCAGTATGTAGTGTCTCTACTTTAAAGAGTCCTCTCCTGCTGGTGTTCAGGTGTATATCAGTATTTAGTGTCTCTACTTTAAAGAGTCCTCTCCTGTTGATGTTCAGGTGTATATCAGTATGTAGTGTCTCTACTTTAAAGAGTCCTCTCCTGCTGATGTTCAGGTGTCTATCAGTATGTAGTGTCTCTACTTTAAAGAGTCCTCTCCTGCTGATGTTCAGGTGTATATCAGTATGTAGTGTCTCTACTTTAAAGAGTCCTCTCCTGCTGATGTTCAGGTGTATATCAGTATGTAGTGTCTCTACTTTAAAGAGTCCTCTCCTGCTGATGTTCAGGTGTATATCAGTATGTAGTGTCTCTACTTTAAAGAGTCCTCTCCTGCTGGTGTTCAGGTGTATATCAGTATTTAGTGTCTCTACTTTAAAGAGTCCTCTCCTGTTGATGTTCAGGTGTATATCAGTATGTAGTGTCTCTACTTTAAAGAGTCCTCTCCTGCTGATGTTCAGGTGTCTATCAGTATGTAGTGTCTCTACTTTAAAGAGTCCTCTCCTGCTGATGTTCAGGTGTATATCAGTATGTAGTGTCTCTACTTTAAAGAGTCCTCTCCTGCTGATGTTCAGGTGTATATCAGTATGTAGTGTCTCTACTTTAAAGAGTCCTCTCCTGCTGATGTTCAGGTGTATATCAGTATGTAGTGTCTCTACTTTAAAGAGTCCTCTCCTGCTGATGTTCAGGTGTATATCAGTATGAGTGTCTCTACTTTAAGAGTCCTCTCCTGCTGATGTTCAGGTGTATATCAGTATGTAGTGTCTCTACTTTAAAGAGTCCTCTCCTGCTGATGTTCAGGTGTATATCAGTATGTAGTGTCTCTACTTTAAAGAGTCCTCTCCTGCTGATGTTCAGGTGTATATCAGTATGTAGTGTCTCTACTTTAAAGAGTCCTCTCCTGCTGATGTTCAGGTGTATATCAGTATGTAGTGTCTCTACTTTAAAGAGTCCTCTCCTGCTGATGTTCAGGTGTATATCAGTATGTAGTGTCTCTACTTTAAAGAGTCCTCTCCTGCTGGTGTTCAGGTGTATATCAGTATTTAGTGTCTCTACTTTAAAGAGTCCTCTCCTGTTGATGTTCAGGTGTATATCAGTATGTAGTGTCTCTACTTTAAAGAGTCCTCTCCTGCTGATGTTCAGGTGTATATCAGTATGTAGTGTCTCTACTTTAAAGAGTCCTCTCCTGCTGATGTTCAGGTGTATATCAGTATGAAGTGTCTCTACTTTAAAGAGTCCTCTCCTGCTGATGTTCAGGTGTATATCAGTATGTAGTGTCTCTACTTTAAAGAGTTTCAGGTGTATATCAGTATGAAGTGTCCTCTACTTTAAAGAGTCCTCTCCTGCTGATGTTCAGGTGTATATCAGTATGTAGTGTCTCTACTTTAAAGAGTCCTCTCCTGCTGATGTTCAGGTGTATATCAGTATGTAGTGTCTCTACTTTAAAGAGTCCTCTCCTGCTGATGTTCAGGTGTATATCAGTATGTAGTGTCTCTACTTTAAAGAGTCCTCTCCTGCTGATGTTCAGGTGTATATCAGTATGTAGTGTCTCTACTTTAAAGAGTCCTCTCCTGCTGATGTTCAGGTGTATATCAGTATGTAGTGTCTCTACTTTAAAGAGTCCTCTCCAGCTGTTTTCAGGTGTATATCAGTATGTAGTGTCTCTACTTTAAAGAGTCCTCTCCTGCTGATGTTCAGGTGTATATCAGTATGTAGTGTCTCTACTTTAAAGAGTCCTCTCCAGCTGATGTTCAGGTGTATATCAGTGTGTAGTGTCTCTACTTTAAAGAGTCCTCTCCTGTTGATGTTCAGGTGTATGTC